TTAACCACATAGAAGTAGAATATAACTGGTCACATAATCAAAACTTAATATATGTTGAATGAATGAATGATCTGGGAACTAGTATAATAGTATATAAAAACAATGATAAAAATGTAGCGTATGAATGGATCCTAGGCCACGAGGCAATTTTTTTCTACTGGTAGTATTTATAGTGAGAAAACTCAATAACAGTTCATAGATTTTCTTCTTAGGTGCTCCAGGATCCTTTCTAAGGAGACCTGGTGGCACAATGGTTGAGTGCTCATCAGCTAACCAAAAGATTGGCAGTTTGAACCCACCAGCTGCTCCTTGGGAGAAAAGAGCTGACGATCTGCTCCCGTAAAGATTACAGGCTAGGAAACCCTGTGAGGTAGTTCTACTCTGTCATGGAGGGTCACTGTGAGTCGGAATAGACCTGATGGCACACTACAATAACAACAACAGGATCCTTTCAGACACAGCTTATTTACATTAATGTGTCAGGAGGGCCCCTATTCCACCAGGAGGGCCCTAGCTCAATCCTAAGGAGATCCAAGGTCTAGCCCAAATGCACCAGGATAGGGTAGTGGAGGGGTTTGCATGAGTAGGTTAGATATTGCACTGCTCTGCCACTACCCATTCCTCCATAGTCAGGAAAACCAAAACCTTTGCCATCAAGTCAATTCCAACTCATACCGACCCTATAGGACAAAGTAGAATTCTCTTATAGGGTTTCCAAGGAGCAGCTAGTGGATTCAAACTGCTAATCTTTTGGTTAGCAACCATAGCTCTTAACTACTATGCCACCAGGGCACCACAGCCAGTAGGAAGTTGTATTTCCCAAATCTGGGAGCCCTATTCATAGGTGCAGAGGGTTATGCCACCAGGGCTCCAAGTAAAGATAAGAGATAGACAAATAGATAAAGACATACCCTTTCACCTATAAATCTGCATTCCATTTAACCAAGAAATTCATTAATTTATGAATATGTCATAAGAAAATATTCATGATGGTCATCTAAGGGTGTATACTACACTTTTATCAATAATAGCAATAGATAGATAATAAGGAAGGACTAATGTAAATATCTAGCAATAGAGGACTAGAAAATACATTATGACTATATCCATTCAAAGGACTTTTGATTGGTCAATAAGTAGGACTATGTAGAAAAATATGAAATGGCCTGGAAGATATTTAAAATTCATTCTAAGTGGGGAAAAAGCATGTTTCAAAAGCATATTTAAACTATAATCCTATTTTTTAAATATATATCTTTGTGCAAAGTGTTAAGAGAAGCTACTTCTGGATAGAGAGATTAAAAACGAAGTAACTGAGGTTTGGAGGTTTAATTAAAATTGAATAATTCACAAGGCAGTAAAGTGCAGCATTAGGTTTCAAACTTAAATCAACACATCAAGCTTCCAGGCCTGGGCTCCCTTTCCCACATTTTGCTGTCTATATAAAAATCTACATTTGGCTGCATTAACCAGCAACCCCATAATGGGGTTAGATACAGAATTTAATTAGACTGACCCAAAAAGAACATTCTAAAAGAACTGAGCACTATGTCTTTCTCATTTTCACAAGTTATATGATTCATATTTACTTTAGTTCTTACTAATATTTATACTTATGAATGACAGATTTAATACATTCCCCAAACTCAACTCATATAACCCGACTTCGGAGTCAACTAAATCCTCTGTTAAACACTTTCAAGGAGTCCCCACAACTTCACCTGGTAGTGCATTCAGAGAAAAGCTGAGAAGCCCAAGTGCACTAAGTGGAGGTGCAGCAGAGCAGAGGGGTGGGACAGCTAAGGGCGTTGTCTTGTTTTTCTGTTGATTTCTTAAAAGGCACTGCAAATAATTGTCGTATTGAGATAGGGTAAAAATCTTCCTGAAAAGAGGTTAGACTCGATGAGCTTCTGAGAGTCCAAGACCAAGATTCTCTAATTTTCCTTTCTACTTTTCTAGCCCAGAGTCAGGCTGATTTAACTTCCACTTCACATGATCTAAGGAGATGAGGTGAGTAATATAGTTGGCACCTATGTATGGATTTTGATTGAAACTGTAGATGACCAATCTTTCCAATCTCTCTTTCCCTCCTGTGGTTCCTCTTTAAGTTTGGTGTGGCAGGTAGATGCCGTGATATTTTAATGGTTGGGGGAAATGGTGTCAGATGTGGTGACGGTGATGAGTAAAGAAAACCGTAGCTGTTGAAATTAGTAAAGCACATGAGCTTTGCCAAAAGAAAGCGAAGTCAACTCAGTAAGTATTAACACTTAAAGGCACGGTGGAACATGATAACTTTTGAAAGATCTTAAGAGACTTCTCTGACACCAAGGAAAAAAAGTAATGGAAGAGTAAATCACTGGTAATGAGATTTCCTGAGACAACAAACCAAGGTCAGGGCATCATACAAATGTGACTTATGCTTATTCCACCAGTTTTGGGCATAATAGAAATAGTAAGAGTAATCTAGAAAGAGTAAGGGATAAAAAGGAAGAAAATTTTGCTCCCAGTCCTGGCTCTATCACTCAACAACCGAGGGACATTGGTGAAGGAAACTCGCCTCACTCCTCTCCCCTTTGCTTTTCTGTGAAAGGGAGATAACATCTGCCCAGCTACATGCCAGGATTGCTGTATGTGTAAACAACAACACCAAAAAAAAAAAAAAAAAGGAATGGATGTCCTTGGAGTATTGTAAAATGCTATACAACAGTTAGCTGTTTATTATAATTATTCATGGAAGTGCCAGCAAGTGTTTATGAGTTTTGTAATCAACAGAAGCGCCAATGGTATTGGAAGCCCCTGGCTAGCAAAATATTCTTGACTCTGTGGTAAAACTAGAACAGCAATGCCATTTTCTATAAGCCAGGTTAGAAAAATGCTGTGCTGGAATATGTAAATAAACTTCCTCAAACTGACACGAATTGGAAATATATTCAGACTCTGGAGGAGAAGATCACAAGGAGGTAGGATTTATTTATCTTCTACCAGTTGGAAGAATATTAGGGAAGCAGAGTGGAGCAGTGGGTAGGGAAGAAATTTGGGAATAAAATGGATTTTGTGTCAGTTCCAGCTCCTTTACTGTCTGACTCTGGGCTAATTATGTACCTCCTCTGATCCTTCAGTTTATTCACCTATAAATGAGTTAAATAATGAGTAATAATACCTATTTTACAGGCTCAGTATATGGATTAAATTAGATTAGATATTAATGTAAAGTGCTGAGTTCAGAGCCTGGTACATGGCCAATACTAATAAATGTGATTTGTTCTTATTATCATTATCTACAAACTTGTTTACAAATATCTTCCTTATTTCATTTCTTTCTTGAATACTGTCTATCTTGTAGCCTCCCTCTATGTAGCAATCTGCACATAGAACATCTTTAAAATGTTTATTAAAACTCCTTCTTTTCTTTATTTTGTCTGTCTGCTTATAATACAATCACTCATTCTTTGACTTGTGTTGAAATTATTTTACTGATCCTATAAAGGTGTCCCCCAAAATTTATTATTTAAGACCCCAGGATGCCTGACATGACTGCTGACCCTAGAAGTAATCATAACATGAAGAAATACTGAACAAAGGGGAAATAAAAAAGAAGTGAGAAAAGAAAATTAAAGGGAATTTTAAATAGAAACTAACCATCATAAGTCTAATAACGTAAACACAGGAGTTTTCATTTTTATATCCAAATAATTTTCAGAATAGAAATTTGCTTCTCATAACTAATAAAATAAATGCAATCACTAGTAATCTGTTGAGGAAAATCAGAAAGCTTTTCTAATTTCCCTACTCCATTTCTTCAGAATATTGCCAAAAAAAAATTCAATGAAAAATAATACTTTTTATTTTCTTGGATGGAAAAGAATTCATGTTAACCAATTGTGTCTGAAAGTTATTACTGCATGATGTGCATGCCTGTGCATGTGTATGTGTGTGTATGAACATTAGTCAACTTACTATTCTTCAGAAATTCCAACATACTTTCCTTCTCCTTAAGAAAATGGTTGGCTTTCTTGGCTGAGTGAAATCTTATTTGTCCAGTTAAGTGTTATCTTCTCTGGGAAACCTTCTCCTCCCAGCCTGCTGGCCCAGCACCAAGAAGAAATACTTTACCTTCTGCATGTTCCTAAGACATAACATAATGTTTGGAACGTAGTTGGCACTTGATGAATGAATTTTGATTGAAGGTGTGGATGATCAAGCCTCCCACTCACTCTTCCACTTATTTCCATTTAGTTATTTTTTAAAGTTTTCAGTGTGTGATGCTATTTTAAGAGTTGGGGAAATAAGCCAGGTTTGAGAATAGTGTTGGGGGAAAGACAACCATTTTGCTTCCTCTTTACTATCTTCCTCAAGTTGTATTATTATTTTTAATTATGCCATAGAAATTTCCATTCCAATCTCAAGAACCATATGCTGTCAGCATTAGGTTAGAAAAGAATGAATTTGAAATAATTCTTTAAACAATACACAGAGCACTGTGCAATATGTTAAGGCCACTCTTTCCAGCAAAATCTTGGGTGTTTCTCTGACATTGTCTTTATCTCCCTATGGTGACTTATGGGGCATGTTTAAGAAAATTCTGTATTAAAGTCAGGGATTCCAATAGAATCAGCCAAAATTTTGTGAAGTTCATAGTGTAGATAATCCCTGTAGTCCCTCATTCTCCATCCCTTTCATTCGTACAATACATTGAACGTTCAAAGTATACACTGCTTTTTAAAGTCTTTCGAATACTGTGTGTACTTGGTCACAGCAAGTAATTCATAAATAGAAACAATTCACATTTACCACCCCAAGGATCCTTGAAGGAAACTGAAAATAAGAATGGTATCTTTGTTGAATCAGTTTGCTTACATTTCAACATACATAGCTCCACTTAACGGGTCAGCACAGCAAAAGCCACAACACACACACACACAGCAGCATGGAATTAACCACACAACTCAACAGACAATGCAGACAAACTTGAGTATAAACCAAGATTTTTCTACCTCTTTTCATAACAGGTTAGTGCTGGCCCTCAGTGTTGGTGTACAGTTTTTATGGCATGGGAAAATGGGGATGTTTCTGCCCTATAAAGATAAATGTGTTGAAGGCTTTAGTTTGAGCTTACACAATGTCAAAAAGTCCCAAAGGCACTAGCACAATACAAAAAGAGAATCCCACAAACAAATATATCACCAAAACACATGGCAAGATACTGAGAAAACACCGGTAGGAAAAACTACTGGTTTCCAGTATGATTTTTGCAACAGTTTTCAATACCTTCCTGAAAAACAAAGAATAAGACAGGAATGCTAGAGGGTCTTTGGTGGGGTACGTCTTGTCACTGACCACCATTCATATCAAATCTTTTGGCTTTAAACTGCTCAAGAGTCATTTTCTCCCTGGAGAGGTAGAAAGCAAAAAACCCGCATTCATTGTAATCTTTTCGCCTGAAGAAGAGCTAAAGGGAACACACTGAAATGCATGCACCATCTGTAAGAAGGAAAGGGCCACATGGAGTAAACATAAAAATATATAGAAGGAATAATCGCTATTCCTTCATATTATATGTCATAAACATACATTGGTTTCCAAACTTAAGTTCTATACATGTAGTCTTTCATGTATGACATCTTTATCTACTCTAGAAAGGGGTGGAACAGAAAGATAACATAGTAGGAAGCATGAAGGTCTGAATTTGAATAAAGGCAATTCCTTTGCTGTTACATCAACCTCAAAGGATGCCAAATGGGTAAAGGGGCTAGAAACTGGGAAGATTTCACTAATTAATGGTTTGTAATTCCTCAAAAAAGAAAACTTACCATATTCTGTGCAAATTTCTCAAAAGATGTTCTGCGATCCATTGAGTATCCAGACTTACGTGTATGGGGTGTGGGTAGGGCGAAGCAAAACAAGGGAACATTAAAAAAAGAAAGCAAGAAGAACAGAGTAGAAGAAGACAGGATGATGAAATGATGCAACACCAAATCCATGTTCTAAAGCACAAGGCCCAGGAAGGTACGAGAGCTGCTAAGGAAGGCCTCTTATCACAGGACATAGCCTCTGTTTTCATTAGTGCTTTTATTTTTAGTACCAAAAAACTCCTGTTGTGCAAAAGAAAAATGGTGTAATTTCAAGCAAAATCAAATTAGGCTAAAATGAAGTAGTTACATGAAGCATTTATACTGACATTTGCAAAGTCTAAATATTTGAATATATAGTGACATCTCTTTAGAATTTCCTCCTAATTTTCTTTCAGGGATAAATTCCTGTTGCAAATTCCCTGTGATTCTATAGAACATCACTGTCTAATAGAACTTTCTTAAAGGCCAGAAATGGCATTCTACATGTCCAATGCAGAAACTTCTAGCTACAGCTATTGAGCCCTTGAAATCTGGCAAGAATTCTATGTAATTTTAATTAATTTAAATGTAAACATCCCCATGTGGCTAGTGACCACTGTATTGGCCAGTGTATGGAGTATCTATTTCTAGTTGCAAAGGAAATGGACCTTGAAGAATCTTGTTTAGCCTAAATGAATTATAGAATATTATAATTTTATTTCTGAATTTCAAGAAGCTGTTGACGATGTTATCATTTAAAAGTTAATAATGAGTGATGTTGATGTTTAAATCCGGATATCCACACCCTGTTAAGCTGCTTGCAAAAGTTGTTATGGACAGTGAGACTGATTATAAACATTAACTGAATACTGAGTTCTACTGCAACTCCGCCCAAAATGTGCTTGTCTACCATCTTAGACGTCTACCATTCATAGTAGGGATAATAGTGATTCAGGATAAATGCCAAATGAAAATATTCAAGAGCAAACGTTACTAAATTTTGGTTACTATCATTGAAAAAAAATGTGTCTATTTTTAGTTAGGAAACCCTGGTGCCTTAGTAGTTAAGAGCTATGGCTGCTAAGGAAAAGGTCAGCAATTGGAATCCACCAGGCACTCCTTGGAAACCCTGTGGGGCAGTTCTAGTCTGCACTATAGGTTGCTATGAGTCAGAATTGACTTGATGGCAATTTTTTTTAATTATATTTTTAGTTATGGAGTCTGTGACTCAAACATACATTCTAGTTTACCGAACAAAGAAAATCCTTCTTAAGTTTTGACCTACTGACCTTGTTCTTTTCCTTTCCTTATTGCAATTTTTGATTCCCTTAAAATAGGCATACAGAAGACTAACATGAAACATGAAAATAGCTTCTAATAAACTTTGGAAAGCATGAACATTTGCAGAAACAAGCCAAAAAAAAAAAGGAATAAAATAAGCAACCAACAAACAATAAAACTTAAACGGCCCTTACAAAATGCAAAGGTTTGGGAGAGGGTATTGGAGTACATTCACTTACCATTTGTCCAATACCGTGGGGCCAGCAGAGGTTAACTACTCCAAATAGTTATCACTGAAAACTAGATTTAAAAAGGGCAGGAAGAACCAATACCTTTTTCTTTGCCTGTAGAAGCTCCTGATAGGCACTGGATCTTATAAAACGTGGGTATGAATCACTTTTCATCAGTTTGTAAATGTGCTCCTAAAAAGAGATAATGGTTGAAGTGCTTCTTCATTATTTCTCACCAAAATAAATAAAATACTATGAGATGAATACCACATGCAATTGAAGAACAAATCTGGTAGCAGCTAAAAATAAAAATGATAGTGCTGATGATAATACCTTATGTTATGGATCATTTAAATCTTCAAATTCATTATTTCATTCATGGATCAGTGCTTAAATTGGTTTGGGAGCTAAGGAGAAGGTAAATCACATCCAGGCATAAAAAAAAATGAGATATCATGAAGTCATTTCAAATCAAGTTGTTGATTTATATAGATCACAAAAAAACCAAAACCCGATGCTGTCAAGTCGATTTCAACTCACAGTGACACTATAGGGCAGAGTAGAACTGCCACATTGGGTTTCTAAGGAGTGGCTGGTGGATTCGAACTGCCGATCTTTCGGTTAGCAGCCGAGCTCTAACCACTGTCCAACCAAGGCTCCATATAGATCATATGAGAACATAAATAAATTTCTGCTAGCTCCTAAAATTTCTCCAGGCCAGAAGAGAATGATGTGAAGTCAAGATGGAATGATCATTCTGGATACAGGTAATTTAGGGGTGCAGACTGACCACATGAATCATCTCTTTTGTCCAAATTATATGGAAAATTATCATCCATAGCCATTATGGTCAGGAGCACAAGTCTAACAATAAATTTTGTGATATATAATTGCTAAATCTCCAACTTCTGTGTCCTTTTTTTAAAAACTCATTTAATGACAGATTAGGTAAATATTTAACCATTTGCCTCAAAACAGTCTGCAATGTTCTATTTTGATGGTTAGTATTGGTAGACAAAGAAGTTAGACAAAGAAAAAATGCATTCATCCAATTCAGCCTGGGTTCAATCTAAAGACATTCTCCTATGGCCTACTGCAGCCCAGAGGGGCTAATCGGCTGCTTGGTTTTCCTAGCCTAGTGAAATACCCGTTTTCAACTGTTTGAGAGTATCTTGGATGTTCTAGAAGCCCTGGTGGTGTAGTGGTTAACCGAACGGCTGCTAACAAAAAGGTCGGCAGCAGTTTGAATCTACCAGCAGCTCCTTGGAAACCCTATGGGGCAGTTCTACTCTGTCCTGTAGAGTCGCTATGAGTCAGAATCCACTGGACAGCAACGGATTTGGTTTTTGGTTTTTTTTTTTTTTTGGAGGTTCTGATCTCTTCTTGTTTGGGAAAAATAACTCAGTTTTCCTGAACTCAAACAGAGCAGCAGTACTTTGGAGTTACTCTGAGCCCACATAAAGCCCTTCGGGGTTAAGTGTCAAAATCTAGCCCAACTTTGATCTCCAAAATTATGGTAAAGTTGTAACTGTATTAGAATTTGTTGTCTGAAAAGTAGGATCCAGATCCTATTTTATTCAAGATCTCCCACTTACAATGTAAATTTAGACCACTTTACTCATCTCTTTGAACCTTAATTTTCTAACCTACAAAGTAAAGTAGCTGTGAGGATTTAAGGAATGATAAAGGTCTAGTGGAATATGGAGTGTTCTCACATAGAATTGAATATATGCCAAGCACACATCTAAGTGCTTGCCTATGTTAGATAATTTAACCCTCACAAAACTCCAGCAAAGTAGGTAACCTTTATTATATACATTTTAAATAAAAAGAGACTTAGGAATGGAGAAGCAAGGGACTTGCAAGAGATCACACAGTACAGTCCGGATAGAACTCAGACAATATGAATACAGAATCTGCTTTCTTAACCATTACACCTCAACTCAAAAAATGACAGGAATGTTTATTATTATATCTCTGAAGATAGGGAAAAAACGTCATCAAAAATCAGAGTTAAATATCTAAGCTTAAATTAAACAAACAAACAACAACAAAAATAAAACCAACTCGGGGGTCTGGTGATAACGGTTTCTGTAGAAAAATACTCATTTTCATTTAATTGAAGGCCCTAGTAAGCAAGACTATTTTTCAATGACACAGATAACAAAGAAATATTCTTTTAAAGACTTCAGGAAGGTCATTCCAAACATTTGACACATTGTTGGCTCTACAAAAAATGCTTGAAATTTTATCTTGAACTGAAAAGAAAGATGAATCAGCAGAGAAGTGAACAGCAGAGCAGGAATTTTCGGCCTCCCCACCACCCCAAGTGTCTCTGTAGAATGCAATTACTTCCAATTGGGAGACAAGGATAGAGCCGCAGGGCGGGATGTCTGGTTTAGCTGTTTAAACCATGTTAGATTTCCGTAACTAGAACTGTCTCTTTTCCTTAAACCAAAGCCATGGAGAAATGCATTTTCTACCAAGTAAAGATATGGAAGAACATTTTGGTATCTCATTCTTCAAATTCTAAATGTTATTTATGTAATGCTGTTATTAAAAAATAAGATATTTTTAGAGTGAATACTCTTTTCTAAAAGAAGTTTAACAAATTATGAAATATGCATGCTCTGATTTAAAAGTCAATTTCAACACATCATTAGGAAATAATATCCCCTCATTACACATTTATTTTTCTTCTTAAGCACCAATTATATATATATCTAGTTATAGATATATATATTTTTTTAGAGAAAGCAGAAATTCAAATAATTTCTAAGGAGGCAATTAAGGTTCAATTTGAGAAAAGAACATTAAAAATTCGTTATGGGATGTTAAAATCAATTTCCTTGTGTGTTTTTCTTCTGGTAGATTAACTTGGGAAATGAATAAATCCCTGAATCAGCTATTTAATTTTACGACCTGAGACAAAACTGGTTTGAGTTTGATGTAACTTTAAGCTAACTCAGTTCTCACGATTCATAATAATAAATAATTTAGGAATGAAAGAATTTTAGAATTTTAGAATAATCTCCATGTTGGAAGATACCTAAGAGGTTTCAAATGTGTATTAGTGAGGTGGGGTCATCATTAGATAAGTGTTTGCTCACATATTAGATGACAAACAGTAGAAAATAAAAAAAAATTTTCAAATATTTCAAATATTCCTCTTTAAGAAATTCGCATGTAAAAATATTCACATTTATAAAACATGCCCAGACTTTAATAAAAGTATTCACTTTAAAGCGTCTCTGCTGTCTTCTAGATCAATTAGAGTTGTTTTAAATACAGTTACCTAGATTTAAAATATTAGAAATAGCTGCCAATTTAAAATGAAAATAAAAATAAAGTCAACTGACAATGCCTCAGGAGCACATTTGGGACATATGTGAAGGACCCCTGTGTACTGACCTGAGCATCTTCGAATGTGTAACGTCCGGGTTCCTTCACATTCTGTGTGGTTTTGTCATAACTCTTAGAATCCAGGTTAATGGCACTGGGGGCTCCCGGAGCCAGAAACTCTTGCCATATTTCCTGAACTCGGGAGGGGACTTCTCTAATCGGCCTTTTCTTCAGATCTTCCACTGCTAGCCAGAATCTGTGCAAGATGTGACACCAAGTGTTTACTCCATTGGCTAACCATCTGAAAATTCCTGTAATATTTACTCATACTACAATTCACAATGATACATAATAATGAACTCACTTTCTCTGAAAATCAAAACCAAAGCCATTTCTGTCAAGTTGACCAGAACCCTATAGGACAGAGTAGAACTTCCCCACAGGTTTTCCAAGGAGCAGCTGGTGGGTTAGAACTGTCAACCTTTTGGATAGCAGTTGCAGCCCTTAACCACTGCACCAGCAGGGCTCCACCTTCCCTGAGGGGTTCCAATATTAGGCTTTTACTGTTTGTTTGTTTGTTCTTCCATTAGTTGTATTCAGAGGTGTAAAATCTTCAAAAGGAAATATTGAATACAATCTCCTTTAAGTGTTTGTTGTTAAAAGCAGATCTCTCAGAGTTCTAGACCAATACAACCCGAGTTTTACTGAAGCAATGTTGCACTGACAAAGGACCATTCGTTAGGAAGGGAATTAAGGGTGAGTGACAAAGAGTATCTGACTGCAGGGATAAAGTAAAGCATTATACCACATTCTTCGGAGCTTTGGTCCATTTGAGCAATGAGGGTTAGTGTGGAGAGGCTTTTCTGCACTATTGGGAAAGGGAATTATAACAAAGCTTTACTGGAGTGGAAAGAGGCTGGAACAAGATCAGTTAAGGCCCTAGCAGGCAAAATAATGGCAAGTAAATAATTTTAGGCTACTTAATTCAGAAAGTTATAGAATGACAAAGCATCAGGCTTTCAAATTACAATTGTTTGAAAGGCTTAAATTTGAAAAGGCTCCATGGCAATTTAGAAACTACAGAAAAAAATACGTACTGATTTACTTAGAAAGATTACCAGAGCATGTTTTGGTTGATAATAGCAAAGTTTGATAAGAAAGTGCCACATTGTATTTATGGGCTTCATTTCTTTAAGTTTTGCTATGTTAATTTTTCTGATTAGACCAAGAAATAATGTCAAAAAGATAAATATGTATATCATAATATTTTGTTAATAGAAAAAGAAACCATACTGGAAAATGGAACTGCTATGAAAACCCTATAGATCTCAGTTCTACTCTGACACTCATGGGCTTGCCATGAGTTGGAGTTGATGTGACAGCAACTGGTTTTGAGTATGCCTATGTTATCCTAAACAGGCACTGTTACCACTCTACTGGTAGATATGATCATGTAATCAAGATGTCCATGGAGTCAATGGTAACTATAGGCTACAGAGACTTAAGAGAGGCCCAAGGTGACAAAGCAGTATCTCTGTAACTACTAAATTTTAACATGGCAATTAGTGAAAGGTCAGAAACCAGTAAAAAAAGCAGTTGAGCTAGAATTAGAATAGCAAGTCTATGCAGTCTAGTTGATTCCCTAGTTTTCAAATATTATTTTTCTTTAGATATATGTAACAAAAGATAATCCAACTTGGATAACGCCTTAAACATGAAACTATCAATATTACTTTTAGAAAGGAAGGATCTAGACTGTTTCCTCTAAAATAGAGAGTCAGACACTGTGCTATAATAATACCATGTGCAAACTAAGGGAGCATGAGTATTGTAATCAATGGTCCTTCCAGTTCATTCCAGCACACACTACACACACTGACTCAAAAAAGTTCATGTTCTCAAAGAACTAGTCAAGAAAAATGATGCATACAAGGAAGACATGAGAAGCCCTCTATGAGCAGGGCCATCTAGACAGTCTGGGAATGCAAGCAAGAGAGCCCTTCTGCTAGGGTGAATGCTGGTTGCAAAAGGGGTCTTAGGAAAGCTATTACAGATGCAATGACATGGAATGACATGCAATGGCCTTCTTGAAGTTTTGAGACGGTATTAATAATACTTTCTCTGATATGTGGTCACAGGCACTATTCTAAGTACTTTACCTATATCAACTCATGTAATCCCTATAATAGCTCTAAAAAGTAGGTGATATTATTGCCCCTTTGTTACAGAAGAGCAAACTGAGGAAATGAAGTTTACATAGCTTATTGAAGATTGCCCATAGGGGACATCTAGGTCAACTGGCATAACAAAGTTTATTAAGAAAAGTTTCTGCATCCCCCTTTGGTGAGTGGCGTATGAGGTCTTAAAAGCTTGCAAGTGGCCATCTAAGATGCATCAGTTGGTCCCAACCCACTTGCAGCAAAGGAGAATGAAGAACACCAAAGACACAAGGAAAATATTAGCCCAAGAGACAAAAGGGCCACATAAAGCAGAGACTGTCAGCCTGAGACCAGAAGAACTAGATGGTACCCGGCTACCATCAATGACTGCCCTGACGGGAACACAATAGACAGTCCATAACGGAGTGGGAGAAAAGTGCGGAGGAGAACTCAAGTTCACATAAAAAGACCAGACTTTATGGTCTGACTGAGACTGGAGGAGCTCCCGAAGCCATGGACCCTGGGCACTCTGTTAACTCAGAACTAAAACCATTCCCGAAGCCCACTCTTCAGACAAAGATTAGGCTGGATTATAAAACATAAAATAATACTCGTGAAGAGTGTGCTTCTTAGTTCAATCAGATACAGGAGACCAAATGGGTGGCCCCTGTCTGGAGACAGGGTGAGAAAGCAGGAAGGGACAGGAACTGGTTGAATGGACACAAGAAACGCAGGGTGGAAAGAGGGAGTGTGCTGACACTCTATAGGGATTGCAACTAATGTCACATAACAATATGTGTATGAATTTTTGTATGAGAAATTAACTTGATCTGTAAACTTTCACCTAAAGCACAATAAAAAAAAAGTGTATGAAACATTTTGGGTGAAAATTAAAAAAAAAAAAAGAAAAAAATCCTGTGGTTTTTTTTTTTTTTTTAAAAAAAAAGATTGCCCAATTAGTAGTGTCATAGCTGGGGTTTGTATCCAGATAATCTGTGTTCCTAACTCCTGCCTTGAACTGCCTCCCCAGCAGCATCATTGCCTTCCTTACCCTCATCATGGAAAGAGCAGCAGTGGAAATCCCACTTCTTTTATTTAATAGTAGCTGAAAATGGGGGAAGTGTCTTAATGTATTCGAGCCTCAATTTCCTCAACAGTAAAATGGGCTAATAATGCTTATCTCACTGGGTTTCTACAGGATTAAATGAAATGAACTATGTAAAGGGCACTGCGAAGTGTCTGACATATTTATACCCAAACTCACTGTGGTCCAGTCGATTTTGACTCATAGCGACCCTATAGGACAGAGTAGGACTGCCCCATAGGGTTTCCAAGGCTGCAAATCTTTAGGGAAGCAGACTGCCACTTCTTTCTCCCATGGAGTGGCTGGTGGGTTCCAACCGTTGACCTTTTAACCACTGTGCCACCAGGGCTCCTTGATATATTTATAGGCACTCAATAATGAGTCTCATATCACTACATTTTTTTGCCACGTGCTATATCCTAGGTGCTTGACTGAAAAAGGAATGAACAAAAACACACCAACAGGAGAGAAGAGTGTATATTTGAGGAATAAGTAGTAGTCAATAAGCAGTGTTTCTTAACTTTTCTTTTTGTCATAATACTTGAAGAAAAATGCTCATATGAGTGGCACACTCCAACAACAGGAGGTACTTAAAGGGCTGCTGCTTAGATAAGATACATTAAGAGTTATTTAAGTGCAATTCTCAGCCTTTCTGGGTAACTCAAGCATTTTTTTCTCCCTCAGTCTGTGACACCAGACACCTAGGAGGAAGCAGTTGGGCTCAAACTTGGAGAGCAATAAAAAGTAGCTTGGGCCTTGTTTATAGAAAATCTAGAATGCCACTTGCTAGCAACCTGACCTTGGACAAGTTGCCTAATCTCCCTCAGACATATTTTCCATATCTATAAAATAGGGCAATAGTATTAATTTTCATGTTTGTTGTTATGACTAGATATATGATAATTGGAAGTAATGAATACAAAACACAGCATGGAATACTTATAGAAGCAGTGGATATAAAGCATATTATGGCATAAAGTAGGTGCTCAAGAATTATATTTCTATATCTAACTATCCATCCACCCACCCACTCATCCATTCATCCTTCTTTCCATCCATCCATCCAACCATCCAACCATCCTTCTTTCCATCCATACATCCATCCTTCTTTTCATCCATCCATCCATCCATCCATCCACCCACCCACCCACCCACCCATCCATCCATCCATCCTAATTTCCATTCATCCATCCATCCTTCTCTCCATTCATCCATCCATCCATCCGTCTGTTCATCCATCTGTCCATTGTTCCTTCCTTCCCTCCCTCCAACCTTCCCTCCTTCCTTCCTTCTGTCCATCCATCCATCCACTATCTTTCTATATTTACTTAGTAGAAAGACATATGATAGGTATACAGTAGATGAGTTATAGCTACAAGAAATAAATTATATATATGTATATATATAATAAGGAGCCCTGATGGTGCAGTGGTTGAGCATTTGGTTGCTAACCAAAAGGTCAGTGGTTCAAACTCACCAGCCACTCCACAGGAGAAAGATGTGGCAGTCTGCTTCCATAAAGATTTACAGCCTTGGAAACTCTTAAGGATTGTATTGTGTCCCCCAAAAATGTGTGTCAACTTGGCTAGGCCATGATTACCAGTATTCTGTGGTTTTCCATCATTTTGTGATCTGATGTGATTATCCTGTGTGTTGCAAATCCTAACTTCTATGATGTTAATGAGGCAGGATTAGAGGCAGTTATGTGAATGAGGCAGGACTCAATCTACAGATTAGATTGTATCTTGAGTCCATCTTTTCTGAGATATAAAAGAGAGAAGCTAGCAGAGAGGAGAGGGACCTCATGTCACCAAGAAAGAAGCGCCAGGAGCGGAGCGAGTCCTTTGGACCCAGGTCCCTGTGATGAAAAGCTCTTAGATCGGGGCAAGATTTATAACAAGGACCTTCCCCTAGAGCCGACAGAGAAAGAAAGCCTTCCCCTGGAGCTGGCACCCTAAATTTGGACTTCTAGCCTCTAGACTGTGAGAGAGTAAATCTGTTTGTTAAAGCTATCCACTTGTATTTCTGTTATAGCAGCACTAGATAACTAAGAAACTCTATGAGGCAGTTCTACTTTGTCGTATATGGTCGCTATGAGTCGGAATCAACTTGATGGCAATGGGTGTACGAGTACATAAGTAATATTTTTTATATACATAATTACAGCATGGAGACTAGTATGGCATAGAATTATCAATTCCTTCATGAAACCCAGTTTGCACATGCTATTCCCTTTGCTCAGAAGTTTCTTCTCACTTCCTTTTTTTTGCCTGGTTACCTCCTTCTCATTATCCAGGTCTTAGCCTAGAAGCCATTTTCCCTAGGATGCCTTTGTTGGTATCCAGCTCTGGATTAGGTATCTCTCTGTATGTCTCCTATTTAAATACCCATTAATTAGTATTGTGATGATCTGTTTTCTTGTCTGTATCTCCCACCAGACTATAATTTAATGATAGCAGGAGCAATTTTTATTTGGTTAGGTTTTATTTAGTTAAGTGATGCCTGGTGAGGGTCAAGTAATTACTTGTTTATTTCTTTATCATGATATCCGTAAAGTCAGCATTTTTAAAAAACTTAAGAGAATTAGAGGAAAATCCACCTCCAACCCCCCCCAAAAAATGCTAAAATATGTCCTTTATCTCTGCTTTATTTTTATTTATTCTTGCACTCAATAATTGATGATGTGACTTCAATAAATAAAATGTTATTTAGTAGTCCCGGTAAAAATCCTTAGCGACAGTAGATCTTGCAAAAGCCCTGTCAAGAAGGAAAGAGAATAGGAAGTTGCTTCCTCAGGATCTATGACAGTCACACATATATAATTAATTCCTCCAGGTTCTGCCTGAGGTCATCCTGCTTACTCCATGAGGCATCTGTTGAAATTCTATGTATTTCTGAATGATTGCTATCAGTCTCTGTTTAACCCCCTGAAAAGAACGAGACATTGCCTAGGGTTGCTTGGTTTCAATGAAAATAAATGAATGCTGAGACCATTCCGTAAATGAATTTCACAGGGCTGCATAAGTCATGGAAACGTAAAATAGGGTATTCAGGTTTCAAACAAATAAAGAATGGAAGAGCTCATGGAAAAACAGTGTTACGTTGTGGAAGGTTATCATTCACTTCCATGATCTCAGATAAAGCCATTAAAATTCATTCCAATGTTTCACATTTAAAATCCAATTTCCAGGTGTGTTTTAAGTTAGAGAAATTTCAAAACCAAATGAGGATGATATTTATAGCAGCTGGGCAGAATGGGCATATCTGCTTGCTAACAGCTCAGTGCGCCCCTGCTCTCAGCTGCTCATTGGCTGTATCTAAACATGCAAAAGCAAATGAGTGCCCCAATAGCTTTGTCCCAAGTTATACAGGTGCCCAATCTCCTTTTCTCTACCTTACTTGAGAAGTGATATACAAAGAAGGCTCATATGGATAAATAGGTGATATTTTAATTTAACTCCATAAATATTATTGGCCATTCTCCACTTTGTCAAATACTGGTCTAAATATTGTACTTTTGTATACAGTTCATTTAAAATGCTCCAGATTTACATAGTGAAAAGACCAAGAGACAGTGTCAAAATAAACCATTATAAGTAACTGATAATGTTAGCTAGGCTTTGCCTTGGTTATTTTTCTTGCCTCCATCACATGGCAGAAATTTAATGGGTTCATATCATCATGATGCTAGTGGGGAGAGTAACTGAACTATAAAGTCTCAAATAATCAGATACATCACAGGTGGTGTCTCTAGCTTACAGTGGAAGGTGCAAACAATGTATCTTACCTTAAGTTTTCTGAGCTGAATTCTGACTCTAGAAATTTAAGGAACTGTTCTCTCCCAACTGGGTCTTTCAAAGCTTCATCCATGCCGAAACCCCATCGTTTTACCCTCTGCTGGCTTGGTTCTTTGCTGTAGGAGATAAAACAAAGCCAAATACATTCTCTTCATTACAACTCCTATTTTCCATTATTAAATTTCCCCTCAAAGCATATATATTTTGAGGTTCACATCTTTATCTTTCAGAAAAAAAAAAAACAAAACTCTGATTGATGACTCCACATGAAAATATAGGGAGGCATTAGTAATAAAGTTTAACATTTTTTGAGAATTATGTACTAAGCGCTCTACATGAATGAGCTCTTTTAGTTTTTTCAGCAGTTTTATGAGATAGGTACCATTATCGTTCCCATTTTATAGATGAGGAAACTGTGGCAAAAAGAGGGTTATAACTTGCCAATGTTAGGTAATAAGGGGCAATGATCCAGACATGCTGACCCCAGAGCCCAATTTCTCAACAATTATACAATGCAGTCTTGTGGTGGTACGCTGTACAGGGGCTGGCGGGGAGATTCATGGGGGACCAAGAGGCCTAAATTCTCGGCCATTGACTCTGCTGTCAATTAAATATGTGACCTAATCCTGACTGAGTCGCAAAGGTATGTGGTTCCAGCTTCTTCATCTATAAAATTTATAAATTATAAATGAAGAGTTCTGGACTTGTCAAGTGTTTAAGACCACTGGCTGGATTTAGAAGAAGCCACCACCACCAGTTGCCATTGAGGTGATTCTGACTCATGGTGACCCCATGTATGTCAGAGTAGAACTGTGCTCCATAGGGTTTTCAATGGCTGATTACTCAGAAGTAGGTCTTTGCCAAGTCTTTCTTCTGAGAAGCCATTGGGTGGACTTGGACCACCAACCTTTCAGTTAGTAGCTAAGTGTGTTAAGCATTTACACCACCCAGGGATTCCTTAGAAGAAATCGAGCTCCATAAATGCAATCTAGAGAAGCGCAATATAGCACTAAATCTTCACTTTGCGAAGTGATATGCAATGGACTTTCAATGAATCTGTCAAGGTTGATGATATAATTCTTCTCCTATGTAGCTCATGAAAGCAACGGGGGAATTCTAAATTATGCTTTGGTTGTCTCAAGAGGTCAATCTCCTGTCGTTTTCTTTTACGGCATTTATGGGAAATTCATTTTGTTTTAAAATTTAATTTAAAAAATATACTTGTAATGGGTTTAGACCTTTGGCATAGGCCTTTGGTAACGTGGATCTTCAAGGAAGCTAAAAGCAATGAGTTAAATTTCAAGAACTAAAGATTCCCAGCTCTGAGCAGTCCATCTAGGAAACCCTTGCACCTCTGATTTTATGCCAACCTGCAATGCAACTTTCAGTGTAAATGTCTAAGTTTCAAAAATCATTATCTTGAGTAAGAATTTTATATCATGGAACAATGTATGCAAAGTGTAAAACTACATTTTACAACTAATTAGCTATAGGATTCTTTCTATTTCACCCAGACTCTGAGAAAGTGATATATTTGGGAAAGAGAGAAAAATGCCACCTACCTTGCTTCAAGTTCCCAGAAAGTAGTATCGTCGGACAGCCATGGGTTAGAAGGGTCAGGTGGCACAAGAAATGGGTCGTATTCTAAATACTGTTCCGTATAACTTAGTAGACTGGGGAGAAAAAATATTTCCATTTTTCTTAGTTTTATAGCTGAGGGTACACCCAATCCAAAGTAAGAGACACAAGATAAAAGTTATCTGACCAAGGAATCCTTGTTCACTTAGAAAATGAAATTCAATGGCAGTTTTCACATTCCAACAACTTATACGCATCAATGTGTGCTTCTCGGCAAACAAAGGCAGTTAAGGATTCAATCTCTCCTTATGCCTAGGCCAGATGAGTCAACATCCCTCCGTTAAAATGAAGCAAAGTGGGAGGGGTCAGTTTGTTAAGGCAGTGCTAAGACTTAGCTCCAATCCTTGGTCAGCCAGTGCACCCACAGTTGAATCGACTGCAGCCAACTCGGGGGAGGAAGGAAAAAAAAGTTTGACAAAAGTATTTATAGTGATTATGTAAAAGGAGAATCACTGATGAAAAACATCCTTTTAAAATTTTGTATTAAAAGAAAAGAAAAGAAAAGAAAAGAAATGAAAGGGGAAAGAAGTTGGAGAGGAAGGGTTTGGCAATCAATGCCCAAAGCTGAAGAATATGAATGACCTAAAGAACAGATTTAAATGGAAAAAAAAAAAAAAAGGAAAATGTCCCTGAATTACTAATTCAAATTCTAAAGTCAGATAATAACTCAGTAGTGTGGGTGTTGAGACGAATTTACAGAGAGGATCCAAGTTTCCAAAAGGTAACCTGTAAATAAAAAATTTCATTTCTTCCAGCTGGAGTGAAAATATTCATCTCCTTGGAAATATCCTCTGTATCTGATTCTGGCCACTCAAGGATGGGATCTCTAGGGATTTAAGACAATAAGGATCATTCTGCCATTCGAGCTACAACAAAAGAGTTGTTTGAAAAGTTCCTACGAGCAATAAAAAAAAAAAAAAAAAAAAAAAAGACATTTCTTACAGGGCTGTAATTATTTGTCTCACCCCTCTCCCAACATTTCTCTTCCCATTTATAACATCTGTCATTGTCATATGAAATTTAGTATTTATATGGAGATCTTGAAATACTTACCTATCAGCAACTTTTGACATTTTTAACCGATGTCTATCTAACTGTATTTGCCAATATTTTATCTGAAAAGAAGGTTATAGAAGTAGTTACATCAGTAATGACATTCTCACAACTTTCATCTCTAAATTCTGACAGACTGGGCAATTCTGAACAAAGGTATATTCTAAGTCATTAAAATTTCAAAGTCAGTAAAAAAACCCAAACCAAAACCAAAGCAGAGGGCTCTGAAAGTGTTAACAAAAAATTAAAATCAGGTTGAATGAATGATGACCAATAACACTTTATAACGGCAACAAGTTTGAACATATTACCTACTTCAACAAAATGTAACTTTATTTTAAAAGTTTTATGGAAATTTCAAACATTCCATTTCAAAAACAGAATCACATTTTCTCCCAAATATTAAATTCAGAAAATTAATTCCCTGTTATTTGTTACTATAATTTAAAAATAAATTCTACCTCCTAGTGTATTTCAAAAAAGCATCAATGATGTGTGTTTTGAGAATAATTCTATCAACAATTCATAACAAACCTTCACATGGACATAATCACACTTGGAAGAACTTAAATCAAAAACTCTCTGAGCTACTTTTCCTTCATAGTGATTATAAATATGCTAGAAAAGTATGTATTACACTGTCTATAAATCATATTACAATAAAATACTAGGAGATAAGTGTCAAAAGGGACCAGAGCCCCATGATTCAACCAACCAAGAGATTTAATTATTATTTGATATAAGACACACTTTGTTGTGTTTTGAAATATTACTTGGAATCCAAACTATTGATCAATGGGTGGAAAGAGAAGCGATATGTACCATGATTGTATATCAGTGCCAGTAAGGGAAAGTTTCAAGATGTTCACAGAGATCCGAACTTGAGAACTAAGAGTGAACTCTCTTTAGGGGAAAGATCATGTCATATCATTGATGTGGGAAATGTGTGAATGAATGACCTCAACCTCTTGTCCTCTCCACCCTTAACAAAGAGTTTGGGAGTACAAAACAACTATAGGTAATGAATTTACCTATGAATCTGTGTGATTTTCAAAATTTGGTCATAAAGAAAGGATTTGGGAATTTAAGAGTGAAGAGTTTTGAAAACCACTGCCATATGTTGATAAATTTTCAAATGACTGTACTTCTTAAAAAGCAAAGTTGTCACTTTGAGGACTACGGTGCACCTGACCCAAGCCACGGTATTTTCAATTGCCTCATAAGAATGTGAAAGATGGACAATTAATAAGGAAGACCGAAGAAGAACTGATGACTTTGAATCATGGTGTTGGTGAAGAATATTGAATATACCACTGCTATGGATTGAATTGTGTCCCTCAAAAATGTGTGTCAACTTGGCTAGGTCATGATTCCCAGTATTGTGTGATTGTCCACCATTTTGTGAACTGATGTGATTATTCTATATGTTGTAAATCCTAACCCCAGGATTAGAGGCAGTTATGTTAATCAGGCAGGACTCAATCTACAGGATTAAGTTGTATCTTGAGTCAATATTTTTTGAGATATAAAAGAAAAGAATCTAGCAGAGAGGATAGGGACCTCATATCACCAAGAAAGAAGTGCTAGGAGTGAAACGGGTCCTTTGGACCCAGGGTCCCTGCATTGAGAGGCTCCTAGACCAGGGGCATATTAATGACAAGGACCTTCCTCCAGAACCAAGAGAGAGAGAACGCCTTCCCCTGGAGCTGGTGCCCTGAATTCAGACTTCTAGCCTCCTAGACTGTGAGAGAATACATTTCTGTTTGTTAAAATCAGCCAGTTGTGGTATTTCTGTTATAGCAGCCCTAGATAACTAAGACAACCATGAATTGCCAGAAGAAGGAACAAATCTGTCTTGGAAAGAGTACAGCCGGAATGCTCCTTAGAAGTGAGGATGGCAAGACTTTGTCTCACGTACTTTGGACATGTTATCAGGAGGGACTAGCCTCTGGAGAAGGACATCATGCTTGGTAAAGTAGAGGGTAAGCAAAAAAGAGAAAGACTCCCAATGAGATGGCTTGATACAGTGACTGCAACAATGGGCTCAAGCATAGCAATTATCGTGAGAATCGCGCAAGACCCGACAGTGTTTTCGTTCTGTTGTATGTAGGGTCGCTATGAGTCAGAACCAACTCGCCAGCACCTAACAACAATGTACTTCTTAAAACTAGACAGTTTCATTATTTAGTAACTAAAAATCTACATGAAATAGTAAACTGTATAAATAAACATTCAAATACCCACTCTTAACATTCACCATCTGGTCTTCAAAGCAGTTACTCTGTAAACCTTTATTAACAAGTCATTTTAAAGGTTGACCTACCTGTTGGTGTAACTCATCTTCTGTTGGAGGCTTAGTTTCTGGTGTGGGTGTGTGGGTAGGGCTGTGGCTTCTAATATCATTCTGTAAACCATAGACAGACTGCATTAAAATAAAAAACAGGCAGAGGCATGTTAGTACAAAATACCATTTATAGTCACAGACTTCCTTAAAAATAATTGTTTTGTTAGATACTCAGTATGGCAACCCAAAGCCTTGCTGCATATTTGATTACGCTTCTAATAAAAATTCAGAAGGCATTGCTATGATAAATATATGTATTTAAAATAGAAGCACAGCTCTTTGAAAAAATGCATGCTTAGATTATCAGCTTGACAGAATAATTGATTATAGGTAAACAACATGGTGAGTGTGATAATAAAATTTGGGAGTGGACTGAGAGTACTAAGCTGGGGAATGACAACACTAAGTAACATTTAATAAATATTGATTTCAGAATAAAACAGGGATGAGAATAGACTACCACAGAAATTTAATAAACCAAAAGAGGATAAAGAATAACATGACCTTTACATAGAAAAAGAATGGAGTACTGAGGAGAGAGACTAGATTAATAATTCTAAAGCTGTTGTGGTTTCTGAAGCTGAGATCCAAGACACCCCAGAGTGCTCCTACTTTCCCAGGTCAACATTCAGTTATTTACCTCACAATATGGGCCTTGCCACTGGGTGCCATTTGCAAACATCAGTCAACCCAAAGGATTTACATAGCCTTGGAATTCATGATGCCACAGTGCTTCTTTATTGACTTGTCAAAAGGTGAAACCTACCATTTAAGAAGACTCCTTTGAGAAAGATCCATTGCTTAAAAGTATAAACAAATATCTGTGGACTTAAGGGGTTAAAAAAAAAAATCATCCCCAACATAAGGTGTGAGATATCCCATTGGTCCACTCCATGGGAGGGGCTAGATTTTTTTTTAATATATGAAAGTATTACTTTAAAATACATCATTTAATATGTGCTATTGAACACTTCTTCTGGCATGAGGATGAAGACAGGATGCTACTGTAAAAAAATATAATAATAAAACTGCATGTGCCCCACAGAATTAAAGTTACCAACAAGGATTTGGAAAGAAACTATTGAGATCTGAAGAGGGTAGATTGCTATGCTTATCTGAGCCCACTTTCAGGCCCATCACCAACTTCGCAGGTATCTCTAAACTCAAAGGTGCTTTATTTCTGACCTGCTCTCACTTGTACCCTATCTCCTAACTTCATCCACTGGCTCTATACCTGGATCCTTGGACTTGGTTTTTGCCTTTGTGTCTCCCGGTATTTTGCTGTTAGCTTTATTTAGCAAATTTTGTCTTGAGTTTAAGCATTTGGATCATTCAATTCCAGACCATCTTGGGCAGGTTCTCTTCAATCCTCCCTCTCTTGCTGCAACCCCTACTCCTTGGAACTCAATTCCTGTCACCAGTCACCCATTTTAACAAAAGGTATAGCACATGTGATGTGGGTTCACTATTAATAGGACTGAACTGGATGACTTGGCCTTGCTCTTTTATTTCATGCATTCATTCAAAATTTATTGAACAATTTTATGCTAGATATTGTGCTAAGCATTATAGATACAAATACAGTAGATACACGTCCTCCTCCATTGGCACTCACAATCGAATGGAAAACACGTTACACAAACAATCACACTCAGATACATATGATTAAAACTGTGGCAAGTGTTATGAAAGGAAAGAATAAGAAGAGAATAGAGCCTGGAGAAAAAAGAGACAATTTATACCAAAGGAACAGAAAAGGCCTAAGTCATGTATGAATACAATGAAATAGGACAACCTTCTGAACTCTGAAATAACAGTTTAGGTTGATTTATACAATTTAAGCAGCTGAAACACCACCAATTATACAGTCATTGCACTTTCCAAAATCTGCATTTTTTTTCAGTTGTATCACATGAATTTTTGATAATAAAAATAAAAAGATTCTAAGGCTTGAGATTTCCATTCTTACTTACCTTGGTTTAATTACTCAAAGTTCTTTAATAAGAGACTTCACGAGAATTACAGGTCATGAAAAAAACACAAATCAAGGTAGCTGACGGTTTTAACAGTAACTATTTTTTTTTTTTGGCTTAGATTAACATTAATTAAAAAGGCTGTTCCAAAAATATATGCCCAGAGGAAGCCAGTACAGAGAGAGAAGCAAAGTAAAGAAACAGAGAGAGGAGACAAAAGTGAGAGAGAGAAATCTGATGGGGTTCAAGTTTAAGTTCCTGGGTCCAGTCACGCCCAGGGCCAGATCATCTATCCCTGTCCACCCCATGGTTTCATGCCAAGAGCCAGAAAACTCCTCTATTCATTCAGTCTAGTTTGAGGAGCGTTTTGGTTGCCTGTAACTTTAATATACCCATTACTTAAACACTTGTATGTTACTCAACAATATGAGCAGTTTACCGTGTTATGCAACATGTTAGATTTTAGATTTGCACGTTCTGCACATGGACATGAGGAAATGCCAATCCTTTTATGTATAAATAGCTATAACCACTGAATTATTAACAGCAGGAAAACTAGACACCTAATCACGAGTTCACTAACTATTCTTCCAGAATATACACATTCGCTGCTAACTATATTAAGTACCATCATGTCTAGATGAGGGTCAGGAAACAGCTTACAGTTTTGAAATAGGGGTCCTGAAGTTACAGGAGGTAATCCAAAGCATAGGTTTAGTCATATACACACAAATGCGTTTGTCATGCTCCTCAGGATTTGCGTCCTAGGACCCCTCCGGTTATTGTCATGTAGAAAGAATAAAGTCATTCCAGCCTGACTATTACAGTCAAAATTTGGGTGTCAGGCTGAGGAAAATCAGGCACAGTGCCCCTTGAAACGTGTCCAGATTGGGCTAATTTCTCTCTAGACACGCTACATGATTATTCCTTCATATGGACTTGACTGGACAAATACCGCTTTATTTGTATTTTAGTAAGTATATTCAAATTTAAAAGAGAGATTTGAATATTTGATTTGAATCTCAAATACTTAAAAATATCTCAAATCAGCTACACATCTAAGCCTTCTCTTCATGTATTTGATAAGCATGCTTGAAATTCAACAATTAAAAGAAACAAAACATCCCCCCCTCAAAATGTAAAATAACCCTGATATTCATTAGGCACATCTGCTAGTTATTACTTTAAGGATTTACTTGAGAAAAGTATCAATTTGCTTTAAAAGTACTATGTCCTTCATATGACCTATAATCACAAGAAATATTATTACAGCAGACGACCACAGAAATGAACACTAGCTCTCTTTGCTCGGGGCATTGTCTGTTATCAAAGATTAAGTATGGTGTAGGGGTTCAACTTCCTCACAAGCAGCAGCAAAAGACAGAGGCCCATCACACTGCTCAGAGAAGAGCAAAGGACACGGCCCAATTAGCGACAGCAAAGGCAGATTCCAGAAGCAGTAGGGGGCCTTTGCCCTAGGGTTCCCTGTCCTAGGGACAAAGCTTTGGAACCTTCAGTGGAGGGCAGATCAGAGTTTGCTGCTTGTTTTCAAGTTATTCGCTGCAACAGTGGTGTGACAATTTAGAACCACAAAACATTTAAATTCCCTTCATAACACTTAAGAACATTATATGATTACGTATATGTATACATGTTTGTCTACTTTTTCAATGTCTGCATCCTTAATAGACGACAAATGGTGGATTAGGGCCACGCCTGTCCCGTTTACCACTGAATGCCTGAAAAACCAAAACCCATTGCCATCGAGTCGATTCCAACTCATAGCAACCCTATAGGACAGAGCAGAACTGCCCCACAGGGTTTCCAAGGAGTGCCTGGTAGATTCGAACCACCGACCTTTTGGTTAGCAGCCATAGCTCTTAATCACTACGGCACCAGAGTTTCCTTTGAATGCCTAAAGACTAGTAAAATGTTTATCATATAGCAACCAAAACAGTTGTCATCAAGTTGGCTCTGACTCACGGTGACCTCATGTGTGTCAGACTAGAACTGTGCTCCATAGGCTTCTCAGTTGTTGACTTTTCAGAAGTCAATCACCAGGCCTTTCTTCCAAGGGACCTCAGGGTGGAGTTGAACCTCCAGCCTTTAGGTTAGTAGTTGAAAATGTTAACTGTTTGCTCCACCCAGGGACTCCTTAGCATATAATAGAAACTTGTTAACTCTGCTGAATGAATGAATCATTCCAGTTCCTAACCAAATATGAGCTAAAACAGCAGAGATAGTAACTAAAAGACAAACCACTATGTAGCTTAGAGTCGTATATAATCTTCTACGTAAAATAACATCATTATCAGGGAAGATTCTAGCAAATTCAACACTTTTGATTATGAGAAGCTACATTTATCAATAGTGAGAAAATCAATACCTTCCAATTGTTGAAAACAAGAGCACACATGCCATTTGTTGTAGCGTTCGTCAGAACTTTCCTTTGTCTATGCTAAATTTCAGTGCTATGTAGCTCTCCTGAGGCACCCTGTAATTCTACTAGTATTGATTCACAGGAAATTATACCAAACCCTGGACAAACAGACCTAGAACTCAATGATGTCATCTCTTCACAGCATTCACCATGCTATGCCTCGTATTTTTTTCCAGAATTAAATGAGGGCTGACGGTATATGAAGATCAGCATTGGTAACTAGTGCTTTCAAACTTTCAAGAATGATGTCAGATGAAGCACTGGTAGGATCTCAATGCTGAATATAGTGCTAAGAAGTGCAAGTGATTATTATGTTTCACTGCTATCTTGTGAATCCATTTGCTTTCTCTTCCGAATCAGAGCATATCTCAATGGGCGTCTGTTGGGTGAAACAGGACACAGAGTAAGTAACTCTTCAAAATTCAGAAAATAGTGAGAGGTGGCTTAATGCATTTTTTGGGGAGCTGAAAACATTTTTGAATCTCGTTCCACAAAGCCAGTCCCCGGTGCACTCAGGATGTGCTTGTGAGCAGAGGGTGAAAGTTGCAGAGTAGGGCCAGGCCCCAGGAGAGACCGCACTGACAGGCTTTCTTTAGGTCTTGCGTTGCCTCTTTCTCTCAGAGAGGTCCAAGGGGCAAAACCTTTTGAGCTCTGCATCTGAATGG